CTTGGCCGCTCTTTTGTTTGTTCAATATTAAATAGGATCTAGAAGCCGAAATTGATTCCCATTGTCAAATATTTAGCCAAAAATTTCCTATATCAGAATTTATATGTTTGAAGGGCACTGAACGCTTAGTACAAAAGCGCTTACAGAATGATAGCACTATGTTGAAAATTTCTGCTCAGACATTTTCCTAGCTACTGAAGAAAGATGCACTATATTTTTTATAGCTGCGGTAGCGACGTGCACATAAGCATTAGCAGATACTTAAGGGCAAATTTGCCTTACACGGCAGAAAATTTAAGAAAAAAACAGTACATACATGTTTATACATGTGTTTTTGTGTATATAAATGGTGCATTTAATTTGAAATTGTAACAGACTTACAGACACACTTGTAATAGCTACATACGGGCTGTAAGACAAGGTGCGAAGTCTAAGATGTGTTTTGCTTTCTCAAGTTACTCGTCCATAGCAACCATATACTTCTAGAAATTCTGATTATTTTCGTTTTTTGATCGTTTTCTTTTCAAACTGCCTGAATTTTATATTTCATTCTTCGGTTATGATTCTGCGTGAGTAATTTTAAGGTAGAATTTACAAAAGAATTAGACGAATAGCGCCTTTTAGTTCTGCGCGACAGGATTTGCTAAATTAGGCCTGGTTCTTCTACTTAATAGTAAGTATGACAAGCTGTCAAGATGGCTGATATAATAGAATATTTCAATTCAGTTATGCGCAGTAAACAATAGCCGATTTGAACACAGAAATAAAGAAAAATTTAGAACCGGACTATTTCTCATCCGTGAAAATGACTTGTTCACGACATTACGATTAAATGTTTCGCAGGCTTAAGCGCGTGCTTGGAATATGGTTACATTTGATGAACCAGGCAGGAATTTAATTAAACACAATATTCTTGAATCTTGAGGGGAACTCGGTTGTTGGTCAGGATGATTTACAGCACGTACCATGGTACTGCGGTTTCATTCTAAGCGAAATCAATGCAGTACTGTTCAGAAATAACCTTAAAAATGGCGGTTAATAACCTACAGTAGGACAAACCTCGGTCCATGACAGACATTTTTTAAAATGTTTTTGATTTGATTATTGTGTTGTCGTTCTCAGCAGTTCATAACATTTCGTTCTGCAACCGCGATCGTATTAATTTTTTTCCCCTTGCGGTCGTCTTCGGTTTGCTATGTATTCAAATCTAATTTATCACAAAATTAATTTCAAACTTCACACACTTGTATATTCAACACAACACGGCCGCTCGTGTTGTAAACATTGTTGGTTTCGAACCGGAAGGTCGTTCAAGTTGTTATTTTGTAAAGACCTTCTGGCAAAAACAAGTTGTTATTTTCCGTTTCAGCGCAAAGATTTACATCAAATGCGTAAATTTGGTTAGCAAATGCGCAATGCGGTTGCCTTGCCTAGCCACGCTATGTCCGTCACAAACACACCGCGTTTCTATGTTTTGAAATCCGGTTCCTGCTACACAAAAACAGTCTACCTAGCTTAGGTTACTTATTCTACGCTGAGTCTCGAATGTGGACGCTTGCAAGAAAGCAAAGGTTTATGCTACAATTCTATTCGCATTGCGAGACAAAAAATTCTATCTTTATTCTACCTCGATCAAAGCTATATCAACGCGCATGATAGTTAAAGTTGGCGCGTCTGCAAACCAAAGTAAGTAAATAGATAATACGTTGTTTCAGTTAGCAATTGTCGCGCTAAGTGTTTCGATAAGCGCTGCTAAAATCGGTTTAGTTCTTATATTGTATTGCATGCTAATTATTAGTTTGATAAGTATAGCTCATTTATGTCAACTATCAAGTATACTCGTATTAATTTCATGTGATAGGTTACTATAGTTTGTCTGCTTATCATATTTTAGTTCGAACCGACGCAATATTCTCAATCGACTTATTCGACCCAAACCTGTATATATCCTGTTAATAAATTATCAAAATTCCTACGTCGAGTTCGTTTCATTCTACGCACCGCGTCTACCCCTGTAGATTTATTGGGAACTCGTTGACATTGAATTTCTATCCCAGTGAAGCTACAAACATTACATATCGATTTTTAATGAAATGAATCGCTGTAGTATGATGCTTTTATATATGCATGCATCAATTCAATTCTCTTAGTAGGAAATTTAGCTAGTGTGCCATCCCCATCTAGCAACACCTAACTATAGATTTATATTTGTATTAAGTTTTATGACTTGTTTTGTAGCACCGGTTTAACGACATGTCTTCAAGACTTGTTTGCTTCGCTCTTTGGTTTTGCTTTGTGGTAAGAAAACAGCAGAATGTTCAGTTTGGACATTGGCAATAGAAATAACTTTTTCTTATTTTAAAGAGATATAAAGTATATGTATATATTGCAAAATCCGTATTCAGTTGTGATTTTCGTTAGCATTTCTTGTGCCTTGTAGATCATGCTAAATAATAATTCATCGGTGATGTGTTTAATTTACTCATACGCTTGCTATACAAAGTCAAATGCATTCCACTTGTACATTAAAAAAAGTTGCATGCGTTTATAATTTTTCCCTGGTTGTGACGTCATTTAATTAGATCTAATTATAAGACAAGATGGCGGACAACTCGCTAACTTCAGCCTGGATATTTCAAGAACTTAGGAAGATATGAAAAATTGAATTTGAAACTTAATTTACAGTTTTCAGAGTTATTTCAAATCGGACTAACTTATTTTTTATTGCCAATATCCTTTAAAGAGTATGTTAGCATGTTAGCATGCCGTTTGTTGACGTTTAAAACTATATTTGCTACAATCTTTTAGATAACAAAAAGCGAAAACTTCAAAGTTAACGTTCAACTGGATTGTCATAAAACGGTAGGTATATTGTCCAAATATATGTATAACTATATATAGCTCGGGAACATATTACAAATGTTCAAGATGTACAACTCCGTCACTCATGCAATACCTGCATGTTTATTAGTTAAATCACTTGCAAGTAATTGCCTGAAGTTTAACTTCAGTTGTTAGTGAAGGACACATTTGCAGACGCAGAAAAGATCATCGTTTTTCACGTAATATATTCTGTAACTTTTAATGCGCACAGCACGCGTCATGCACAATATATCCTTTTAGTATAAATTTCGAGGTGACTATTGGTTTTCCTGCATTCTGATTGGTCAAAATTCACTGTCTCTGAAGTGATAGTCACTGGTCAGTGAATATAGCTTTTTTATCCTTTTTTCAAAAACTAATACGAAATTTGAATTAGTAATTAAATTTTTTTTGTCAAATTGCGTTGATTCTTATTTGTAAATACCTCGAAATTTATACTTAAAAAAAATTAGCCGCCTCAGGCTTGGTGATTACAAGCCTATATTCACTTCGCCTTCGGCTTAGTAAATATAGGCTTGTAAACACCTCGCCTATTTTTAAATATTTAAATGTACAAACAAAGGGAACAGGCTGCCCAGGTTTGCCAAAGACTTCCAGTCAAACATTTCGATGTTTCTAATATCTCTGTTTAAAATGTGCATCTAACAAATTTCAAGAAACTCTATAGACCACATTAGCTACGTGAAAGCAATCATCGTTTTAGCTACGCCATCGGTGATGATAAAAATTTATTCCTCACCAGAATTTTTAATTGCTTATTACTAGTTTCACAAGCTTTCTAGCATGAATCACGATGTCACCCCAACAGGAGTTGTGATCTCTCTAGCTAATGCCGGAGTTCCCAGTGATGCAGTTGACGTCGTGGTTTTTGCGAAAGTTTATTCGGGTCAAACACCAACGACAGGGTCAGAAGTTTCATAAACGTCTATCTAAAGGGCGCAAGTGGTATTATTGAAGACGAAAGGCAACTAATGTACTACACATACCCTCAAAATGCCGTATCGGTCAATTCAGAAAATATGGTTTTTCCAATAAACAGCAACTCGAAGACTATTACAGCCCAAGTGGATGGTACTTTTCCGTCAAGAAATTTTGCTGCTACAGTTAAAATTCATGGTTACTATACCTTTTGTTGCCAATAAATTGTAGAAGGTATTGTTTTTTAGAAGCTAATAGTTTGTTATACAACATTTCGCATAAATGACTTAGAATTGGTTTGTTTCAAATTATCTCTTTTAGCCTCGCGATTCAACAGACATTCCAATAGAGAGCTTAATTGATAGTGACAACGGGCTACCGACCACGGCTGAATTGTTTTTGGCGACTGTTTGCACCTACCAAGATGTTATTTACAATTCATCCCGGATGATTTTATTGACTTAGTTTGAAAAATATAAACTGTTCATGACAGTAGAAAAACACAAAATAAACTTGTTCTTTTTGTATGCATATCAGTATAGTATAATAGATACACGTTCTGTCCTTTGTCACGTGACGTTTACAACTTTTATAACTTTGTAATCTGTGATTTTGATCATTAAAATTAGGAACCATAAATGATAAATAAACATTTATAACCATGGCGACAAAAGTTTGTTAAAACCAGCACCACTGCCTCCCCCAGCCGCTGATCTCATTAAGTGCCTGAATGCAACTATTTTACAAGGTATGGACGTATGCAGTATGAGCGACCTTGATTTCGACCAGTCGTATCTTGGGTCGAAGCGCGGAAAATAGTAACAAACAACCTGTTATATTATTAGCTATGTTCCACCAGTTTACTGAAAGAGGTAGTTTAAAGATTTTAAAAAGGAGCTCGTAAAGACGTACACTCTTATTGAGAGTTGCTGCAGAGTTTAAAATTCTTCTTGGCTATGACAGAAAAAAATCGTTCGAAACGTTGTTTGATTTCCAGTCATTAGAAAGAAAACTCACCTGTTTCCCAACATGTTTATCACCAGTTATCCATCCAGTTGCAAAAGATACGCGCGCTGAACGCGATAGTCTATATAGTTCCAGTGTATGTAAAGGAAAGTATTTTAGCTTAAATGGCGGATAAGTTCAAAATGGAACGCAAAATCTTTTATTTATTGAAAAACTAAGCTGAAATATTTCGATGTCAATAATTTAATTTTCAGTGGAAGTATACTTATATAAGGCTGGTTGAAGAGGCTGGTTCAGTCATGCAGTATCATTGCATGTTAATTAGCCAGTCTAACTTTGTATCTAGGCAAGAAGACGGAAATAAATCACGACAGCTAGTATATAAATTCATACTAGAATTAGTAAAATGGCTAAGTTTAGTTGCAAAGTTGCAAGTTTAGTTTAGTTGTGCATGTTTTAGAATTCACAAAATACGGCCTTGCCAATTATTGTATACTTTTGTCGGTTTTTACCCTACTAAAGCCTGAGAACTAGTTTCGTTTACGTTCTACTTCCGGCGGAATTACTTCATCGACAGAACATACAGCATACAACCATACTAACTATGATACAAGTTCATACAACAAAGTGATTGGATGGCTATGACTAATATTATTGGATAACTAATAATATTATTGACGATATTTGATTTCGTGATCGAAGATTAGGTCTGGAAAGAAGACTACCAACATTTTTTATCCAAATTATATTTGCTTTATTTTGGATGCCGTGTCGTCATCGTTGGATATCTATTATTTAAGGTAGGGAGTTAATGAAGAACCCTGCTTAGTCAGTAATTTGTCCAGTACTACAGAACTGAGACGCAACTAATAATCATTTTGGATGCCGTGTCGTCATCTTTGGATATCTATTACTTAAGATAGGAAGTTAATGAAGAACCGTGCTTAGTCAGTAATTTGTCCAGTACGACAGAACTAAGACGCAACTAATAATCATGGGATTATCGAGTATCATATTTGTGCGAGGCATATTGTGTGTAGCAGTATTAATTCACCGTAGAGGCGCAAACTATACCTAGAATAGCCCTAGAATAGTCAATAACAAGGTGGCAAAATCGAGGGTGCGTATTCATACATCCGTCTTGTTTGCCCGACTGATTCCCTTTTAAAGACGATTGTTTCAGTTACGGTTTATGAACATGAATATAAAATTATAAAGAATATACACTCTGATCGACGTGATCGTACAGTTGACCCTTTCTATGGTGACTGGTCTAAACCCCATTGCTGTTGTGTTGCTTAGATTTTTGCAAAGTCTGTTTTAGACATATTTTCGTTTCATAAAAAACTTGCCAATATTTCAAAGCTCGCGTCATGACAGTTGGACACTAAAAGAAGCTTTGTCTTATTTGATTTCATTTTAATTAAGTTTCCGTTGAGGACAACTTTTGAAATGTTGCTTAATTTGTTTTGAACAGAAAATATTCGTAGAACAGACTTCACATCATCCTTAATAATATTATTGAGGGTTCAGGGTAGCAAGTTAGCAAACAGCATTGTGAATTAAGAAGCGCATGACTAGAAAGATCGAGTGATCATCTGAAGATCGAGCAATATCGGCGAGTATTGGCTATCAATGTTATTGCTGCATGGAGGGTCTATTGCATGTAAAGCATTTTTCGTTCGTTTGTTTCTCGATCGTCGATACGCGATATACAACCGAAACATATAGTTGGCCTAGATTAACGTTAGAAAACAAAAATTGGGTCGTGTACACTGATCTGTTATGCCAGTACATTAGATAAAGCAGTGAACTTTTCTGAAACACTTAAACTGGAACGACTACTCGGCTGCTATCTCTTCTGCTTTTGTCTTCACCATAGACAATCCCGCCGACGTAAACAAAGAAAAGTGACTGGCAATGGCCTAGATTTGGCTATAAATTGGTTCCAAAGATAGCTGTTATCCTTTTAGGGCCGATTTGACGAAAATTAGATAGTGCTTCCGCCGGATAGTGATTTTTCAACAGTTTTAATCATTTAGAGCTAACAGTAATTAATAACTTGGTTTTCAGGTTCCCATCGCGCTATTTCGAAGATGACGGTCAGGCAAGATGATATGATCTTGTTATAAGCACCAAAGAAGATTGTAAAAAATAATGTAAGAATGACTGAACTCAAGGAAGATGATAATGTTATGATGTCCCAGGCTGAGGACAGCGACGTAACTTCAAGCTTTACGGAAAACAATAATAGCGCTTCGTCCCAAAATAAACAAGCCCAGTCAGTTAATAAACAGAAAGAAGTTGAAGATGAACTCCAAGAAAAAGGCATTCAAAACGAAGAATGTGATGGCGGTGAGAATTAAAACAAATGTCCTATGATAGAAGTAAAAATCCTATCCTCTACTAACTCGTACATTTTGATCAGGGTTGCAGATGGACTGCCTAATTGGGCGTGGGGGGGGATTGCATATTCACATGTTCATGATTATATATCGTAGGAACAATAGCGTAGCAAAGAAATCAGACGGTTATAAAGGCGGCTTTCGAACCATTCAGTGCAAAATGTCGCGCGACCGATTTTTTGCTATCGCTTTCTTTTGAAATGTGTTTGTAATTGTAATTGTAAAAAATTGTAAAATACATAGGCAACTCGAAAACTGAATTGCGTATTTACAAGCTAATCTAAAATGAAAACACATTGACAAACACTACAAACAATCTATATATAACTATTTAAATAATCTATATTTAAAAGTTCCCGTTAATTATTAAGATACCGATAAAAATTCGCCAAGTCTAACGACCATAGTTTATGGCGGAGGCCATGATAAAAGTATCTCTGAAACGGTTTTTCTCCAATTGGGGATTTTAAATGCCTATTTTGTCTTAATTGATGAGCTCCTTCATGAATCGGGGGTAAAAGTTTATTCAGCTTGTTATGTTTATCATTCACAGTTTGGTAAAAAAATCCCTACATTATTTTTTCACCGTATGACATAATGGTGGGAATATTCGCTTCCAATAGGGCTTCATGATACGTTATTCCTGGGTTGATAATTGATAATGCCCGTTTTTGTAAACGTTCCAATTCATTTAGGATGTACTTCGGTAAAGCATAGAAGAATACTGGGATTGCATAAGTCAAAACAGATCGAATGCATGTAATGTAAAAGAGCACGAGATCTTTTCGAGATAGTTTAGCTCTTTTCAATTGCACAAGAAAGTATAGCCGTTTCGCTGCTTTCTTTATAACATTATTTATGTGAACATTCCACGATAGGTCGCTAGTTATTGTGACCCCCAGCACTTTTGCACTTCTAACGACTTCTAATTCTTTTCCGTATACATAAATCGGTTGAAAGTCTTCTTGGTTTTTGCAAAGCATATCCGTAATTCTTTGCATTTTTCATCATTTAATTTCAGTTTATTTGAAGACCATTGGGCGACGTTATCAGCTATGTTTTGTGAATAACTCGGAGACCCCCTTTCTACGATTTCTGAAGATGTTGTATCATCAACGTACTTCCACAAAAGGGCATTTATATCGTTGTTAAGAACTAAATCATTTATTAGCAGTAAAAATAACCACGGTCCCAACTTTGTTCCTTGTGGGACTCCGGAAGGAGCTGAGCCCCATTCAGAAAGACAGTTATCATATTTGTACAAAGTTTTATTAAACATTCTTTTGCTCGCTTTCCAACATAACCATTAAAGGTCAGAGTGTCGTGCTTACCGGGATACCATATTACTACGAAATCGGATGTACAGGAATCAAACCTTTTTGCGTTGCTTCCTGGCAGCCACCATTTCCCGTGTTGACAAAAGACATTTTCGATAAATACTTTCAACGAATCGTAATTATTGCACCATTTTGCTCTTATTCCATCATAGACAATATTCTTAGATGATATATGCACTTTTAATTGATTTAAATCAAAATTATCATTGAAATTATTGACAATTTTGTCAGAAGAGTCTTCAACACGACCGTCCGCCATGTTAAGTCAATATATCCTCAAAATCAAATGGTAATTCAAAATCATCTAATGCATGGGATTATAGTTCCACTTGATTGTTTGTATTCAAAAGAAAAGCGATCGCAAAAAGTCCATCGTTCGACATTTTCATGCAAAAAATCCGCATTAAGCTTCTGGTTAGACGGCCCTAACCATCAAGGTCCCACAACTATTGGCCTACGCAATTGCGTTCGCTATTGGCAAAGGCGATACCAAATAAATGAGTAAAATAATAAATATCCCGTTGGAACCATTCAGGCTATTCAATAATTTAAATTTCTACCCTATAACCCTTCGACACATTTTTAATTTTCTTATCACCTGATACAATGTAGCTCGTGCACAAGGAAAAACTATATAATTATAAGGCACATTTCGCCAAAGTCTCCTATGCATGTGTTGAAAATATGTATTCTTTTGAGGTGCATGTCTCCGCTAAATAAATCCCTGGCGTGAACGGATTTTAGGCCTTGTTCGGGATACAAAGCTATAGATGTTACAGCCATTTTCTTCCGACTATTGTAAAATTTCACGTCTTCCAGAAATCATTCATGCCTGCGTAATGCGAGCGGATAAATTGTTGCGGGAGACCCGCAATGAAATTTCGTTGGGCACGGCCCGGTTTTTTATCTTTCATCTTTCTTTTTCATGTAAACTGAATCTTAATGTTGCATATTTATAGGTATTGAGAAAAAGAAAGAGGCAAGTGGAAGCATAAATGTCTGTGAAGAAAGAAAACAATTTTGGGACGAAATAAGAAAGGACGTTGAACGTGGTGAAAACAAAAAAGATCTTTGGAAGATGACAATTCTGTGCCGTGCTTTTCAGTTTAGTCCAGTAGATCAAGTAGATGCGCTAGAAATTGTAAAGTATTTGGTTGAAAATGGCGCTGATGTAAATGGATATGCTATTGACAGAAGGACTGCTTTTGATTGGAACGCTACTGACGGATGGACAGTGCTGCACGTTGCAGTTACTAAATGTACGTTAGAAATCGTGAATTATCTAGTTGAAAGCGGCGCTGATGTAAATGGGAAGGCTACTGACGGATGGACAGTGCTGCACGTTGCAGTTACTGAAAGTACGTTAGAAATGGTGAAATATCTAGTTGAAAACGGCGCAGATGTAAATGAAAAGGATATTATCGGGAAGACAGTGCTGCACTATGCTGTTACTAGAGATGCGTCAGAAATGGTAAAGTGTCTTGTTGAAAATGGCGCTGATGTAAATGGAAAGGCTACTGACGGATGGACAGTGCTGCACGCTGCTGTTTCTAAAGATGCGCTAGAATTGTAAAGTATCTTGTTGAAATGGCGCTGATGTAAATGGAAATGCTACTGACGGATGGACAGTGCTGCACGCTGCTGTTTTTAAAGATGCGCTAGAAATTGTAAAGTATCTTGTTGAAAATGGCGCTGATGTAAATGGCAATGCTACTGACGGATGGACAGTGCTGCACGCTGCCGTTTTTAAAGATGCGCTAGAAATTGTAAAGTATCTTGTTGAAAATGGCGCTGATGTAAATGGAAATGCTACTGACGGATGGACAGTGCTGCATTGCAGTTACTGAAAGTACGTTAGAAATGGTGAAATATCTTGTGGGATATGGCGCTGATGTAAATGGAAAGAATAATAACAAATATACAGTCCTAGACACTGCTGTTAAAAAGGGGTGGCTAGAGATGGTAAAATACCTTGTTGAGAATGGTGCTGATGTAAATGGTAAGGGTCTTGAAAGTAAAATTAACGCTTCTACACTTGGTACTGATATCCTAAAGATAGCTGTTGTGAACAATTCAGCTGTTTTGGTCAACCTTTTGTTGAAAAAGAACGTTACTGTGCGGAGAGCTCAAACATTTCTTGTTAAAGGCAGACAGATGAGTCTTCTTGAATGGAGTGTTCGCTTTGGTCATGATGAGATTGCAACTATCCTCAGGCGCTCCGTTAAACATCGTGAGAAAATTGAAATTTTGAAAACAAAGAATTGCAATAAGTTAGACAAGGTAATAGTTGAAAACATTGAAATGAGCTTATGTAGTAATTAACTTTTGTGTATATAAGAAGTTTACGATTTTCATCGCGTCAGCTCGGCTATGCGCTTTTCCAGTGGCGTAGCCAGCCCGACAATTTAGTCATGCTATGCTAATATTTTGGTGTTCATTGACTGTGAAAACAATGAGTTTCTAAAGAAATGAATAATGATAATAACATAAAATTTGCATAGCATGACTAAATCGTCAGGCTGGCTACGCCACTGCTTCCGCAACAATATTTCCCAGGGTGGGCAAACAGGGAAACATATGAGGAAACATTGCGAAACATAAATGTTTCCGCAACAATGTTTCCTAGTTTGCCCAGGGCTTTAGAAGTTGAGAATATACTTTTTAAGCCGTGAATGTGTTCTTGCTTTTTTCTTCTCACTGTGGAATATTTATCGTGTTTTTTTTCAAAGATTGGCATTCCGATGCAGGCTTTTGTCGCCGACAAGCAATTCAGAATTGGCGATGGTGGATATTCAAGTGTCTATGTTGGTCTCATGGAGGATGGGACTGAAGTTGCTGTTAAGAAAATGCTGGTACAAAAGTGTGATAAAATAGCTGAAAACGAAAGGGAAATTATGGATCTTATTAAAACAAGCGACTCACCATTTATAGTGAGTTATCGACATTTTCACCGTGACGATACCTTCATATATCTTATTCTTGATCTTTGCGAAGAAACCTTAATGGAACTTGTTCATGCATCCAGTATTGAACATCTACAAGAGCGTGGTCCACGAATGATTAAGGAAATTCTTTCAGGACTTGAATTTCTTCATGGTAAAAGAATATTGCACAGAGATCTAAAACCATCAAACGTCCTGGCTGATATCGAGGGTCGCGTGAAATTGGCAGATTTTGGATTAAGCCGCGTTCTAAAAGACGATGAAACTACAGTTGAAACAGATGCTAAAGGCACTCACGGATGGATGCCAACAGAAGTAATTGAAGCAATAGACAAAGAAGAAAAAGGTACGTTCAAAAAGAAATCGGATGTTCAGGTAGCGGGCATGATTGCTTTCTTCATCTTAACAAAAGGTGAACACCCTTTTGGATCTAGGTTTGAACAAATGAAAAATATTTTGGAAGGAAACCCTGTGAATTTGAAGAAACTTGGTGATCGTAAAGCTCGAAATTTTGTGTCGTGGCTGATTCGTCACAAGATTGATAAGAGACCATACGCTGAGGAAGCACTGTGTGACTCTTTCATTGAAAAAGATTGATACAGAACTATTTTACGGAGAGAAAAGCATTGTTATGAAAAATTATCCCAATATTTTCACAATATAAGCGACGAGTGCGTAAGGAGAAGAATTATCTGAATTTCACAACATGGTATTCTTTCCTGTTGAACTGAGTAAATCAACATAATCATATTTACTTTTGCATCCATTTTTTGTGTGCATGTGTGCTATATTTTAGCTCTACTCAGGAGAGGATCATCTAGTAATCTAGACAAACTTGTACAAAGAACAATTAGTTAACCTGATAATCATTGTATAAATTGTAAATGTTGGTGAACTGCTCATGTGAATAAACGGACTATAATTTTCGGCAATAGTTTGTGCAGTTGTAGTGTAATTTGGGCCATTTTTACCGCCCTAATCGGTTCCTAGCACATGCCTAGTCAGTTCATACTCGTGCCCTGGTCCTTCCGTATACTGCGTGCGGCGTTATCAGGGGAGGATACGAAGATTTTGGTACAAGGATGAAATATGAAGATGACTGGGAGATTGCATGGGATGTATTTGTCGGTGTTTATTGATGCAAGGAATATTTTAAGGATTGCGTGTTTACCATCATGCCTTGCGTGGTCAAATCAACTTCACATTTCACGCCTAAAAATCTAGATTTCCGTTTATAATCCATGCGAAATTTGAAATTTATTCGCTATTTTACCCTTCGAATGAAAATGCAAGACAGTTAGTGGATCACTTTTAAGGCAAATGTTACCAATAATAATTGCAAAGCATGACGGTTGATTACAATTCTTCAATGATTCTTGTTCATTAACGGCGCAAAACAATCGTGTCTGTGTTTTAACAAACTAGTAGTTCGTTTAGGGCAAATATGTGAGTGAAACTTCTGGTAACTTGTTCCATTTGAATGTATAGCAGCATAGTCTACAGATATATCTTCATAGTCTACTGCGTCCTTTGTAATGACACTTACCAGTTTTTATGACATTTTAATATTGTAATCTCTATATAGATAATTAAAATTATGAATTATAACTAGTTTCTGATATTTAAAAGAGAATTTTAGGAAAACCAGCACATTCAATCCTGGCTTTAGCCCCCCCCCCACACACATATTTTTTGCGGCTAAAATATTTGAAGTAAAAGTCAGCTTTTTAATTAGCGCTAAAGAGTTACTTAGAGAAAATTGAACTTCTACTGGGAGTTCTAATTTGGGCTTAGCTCCACTCTCTGACACGCTCCGCGGGCCCTTTTTATTTGTTCGCTTGCAACTTGAACAATTTTCGTCGGGAAAACTAAAAGTCCAAATACACGTAGCGCCGAGATGGGGTGATTCCCAGAGCTAAACTTATTTTCTGAGTTCTGCATTAGTTCATTTACCTAATTTATATTTTTCACACATACATATGTAGGGTAGTTTCAGAGATTTGGATCAGTAACTGAGGTTGCATAATGGTGAGTTTGAGTGCGTTTGCATTCCGTAGACGGTCGGAAGCTTCTCTATGCTATGCTAATATTTTGGTGTTCATCGACTGTGAAAACAATGAATTTTTATAGAAATGAATAATGATAATAACATAAAATTTGCATAGCATGACTAAATCGTCAGGCTGGCTACGCCACTGAAGCTTCTTTCAAATGCAATTGGGTCTTGTCGTTGAAATAGCATCCTATTCACCAACACTCACACTCATGCTTAGCTTGCACGTGCACAAGGAATGGGGTAAGTTTTGGTCAGGGGCGTCGGAGACAAGCTGGCACAGCTTGAGTACGACGCGTGCAGGCCGAGTACGACCCGCATTCCGGCGCTCTCGTCGGTACACCTGACCACTCGAGACTGAGCAAGAATGGACTGAAAGGCGTTTACCAATTTTTATACCCTCTCAATATGCATAATTAGATACAGATGGTTACCCACATCGGTCATTTCGCTTGTTTTCACCTTGTTTAAGGTTTGCATATAATTATGAGCGTTAATAGTCCTATAAACGGCATTGAAAAATACATCAACACCGCCCAACAACAGCTTGGTATAAACCTTGCATGTGGTTTCCTATTTCGTCCTGCAACTCCATCTCAAGGATCATTGAAGACGAGAAAGCGACATACATCTCTCGGTGTAGCTGTGGTTAACGTAGTGTATCCAGTAAGGGCTGACAAAAATGACTCCAATTCTGTTTTTAACGCGTTATTTTGTTTGGAATATTTATGAGGCAATTAGAATTAAATAAGAGGGGTGGGACATAATACAATTCTTGATAATTGGAAATTGGTAATTCAAAGATGGAAGATTTGTAGGGCTTCTGCAGTGCCTCATACAGAAAATTTTCTGTATTTTTCAGTCTCTATCACACCCTATCACCATTTTTGAGGACAATTACTGACGAATCCATATCAGGAGAGTGAGGTATTTTGAGAAAATACCATTTATCACTGCACATTCTATTTTTATCACTTGTTATCACTGCACACTAAAATTAGGTATGGTAATAAGAGTAGACGACGAAGGTTAGGTTACACCAAATGGGAAGTTACGTAAAGGCGATGCGGAAAGCCCAAAGGTGAGTGAGTTGGCAAGAGCAAAACCCCAGAAATGCCTTTGGACGCAAGCTTGATTTTCTTCGTGGAAAAAACAAAGTAGGAGGGCCACCAGTAACGTCTAGGGTACTCGTCAGTGGAGCACTACCAAAGTACAAGACAAGTTACCGGATCGAAGGAACTTGAAAACGGGACCAACCAACATGTGAGGGGGAAAACATATGGTTGTTGAAGTACAAAGGAGTGGTACGAGAGTTCTTGAGCGAAAAGAGTCACACCTAGAGAGTGCAGCGACGGGTATGGTGTGAAATGCGGTAGAGGGTTTCCGGATCTATCCACCATAGGGTTGGAGTCGAGGGCCATGAGGCCACATGTATGACCCTGGCCTTCCGCGAACTGTTGTTGAATTGTTGCCCAAATGGCAGGCGTCAAAGTATGGTCATATTCTGATGATCGTCTGGAAAGAGCGTCGGCGGAGTTCGCTTTAGTCCGGACATACGTGAGGTTTAATATGGTTAAAAAAAAAATTAAAAAAATTAACTTTTTCATCGCTCGGATAAGACGGGGGCTTTTTCCACCTTGATTGTCCCAAGCGTTTATGACGACTTGATTACCTCCTTGACGATTGATCTCCTCCCGCCAAGGAAGCGGGCTATCCCAATCTCCAAGAAAATGAGAAATTTCCTGATGTAGCGCACCCTTTAATAGCTGAGGTTTTAAGGTGCGGAGGCCGCGGGAGATGGCTGCGTTCATCTCTCGAAGAAACGTGCTGCCAGCAAAGCGAGGGAAAACGAAATGCATTTACCAACGAGATGTTGGAGAGTTTTGACTGAAACGTACTTTGAGTGAAGTAATTTTTGTAGTAATCTCACACAAGCATACACACATGCACGACAGCGAAGCCTCACCCACAAAGAAACGAGAAATTTTAATCCAAGTGTATCCAACAGTGAAATATACGGCGAAATCCCGCCCAAATATATAAGATTGTTTAATCTCACGTCTACGCGACGAAGCATATCAAACGCTAAAATCTGAGTCAAGCATAAAGGCCCACACAGACCGGACGCGATTTGGCAAGGTGGGCGCGAATTTTCAATTCGCGTCGCGTTGCCGCATCGCGTCCGGTCTGTGTCGACCTTAAAGGTATAGCGCGAAAAGACTAACACGAAAAATGGACATGAAGAACGTGCATAAACCTCTAACTCGTCTTGTGGCTGCTCCTGTTGTTGATTTACTGGCATAGATGGAACGTCCTCATTCTGCCGATCTTGTTGTTTCGGTTGAAGTGGTGCTGCTTGTACAGGGTGTATCAAAAAAAAGGTAATCCAACTTTGGTGCGCTATTGTACGTGAATTACTCATTCTATTAACGAATTTTTTTCACATTCCGAAAGGTTAGGCTTTTAACCATCGAATGACATGTTTTTGATAACAAATGGTGAAAAAATGAGCAAATAGGAGGCTGCTAAAAGTGTTAGTCAAAATCGCATATTTTCACCTCTGAGAGTTGGGACTAAAACCATTGAAAATGAAATCTCTTTGGGATTTAAATGAAGAATTTTGCTTTTGAATAAGCGACCCGCATATTCATATTAAGTATGAATAAATCACATCAGGAGAACATTCCAAGCAATGCGGCATAAAAGTGATAAAACCAGTGTAAGCTGTGACATGTTCGTGATTAATTGCTCTTTTCTTTTGTTATGCACTGCTTTAATTAGGCTCAAAGGTGAAAATATGCGATTGCGACTAACATTTTTTATCAGCCTCGTATGTGCTCACTTTTTCACCATTTCGTATTAAAAACATGTCATCCGATAGTTAAAATCCTGATCTTTCCGAAAGTGAAAAAAAATTCGTTCATAGACTGAGTAGTTCACGTACAATAGCGTGTTGAAGTTGGATTACCTTTTTTTTGATACACCCTGTATAGCAGGTGGCTTGCAGTAGTGGGGCTTTATTATTGGAAGCACTGGGTATTGTATAAAAACTTTGGGATTTTCTGCCATTCGATGTGGGTCGTACAAAGGCTCGCGGTAACTTGATGAATCGCTCGAATTTAATTTTATATTCAGTTTGCTAGTTTGCAAGATATCGTTGATTTGTATGGCTTCAAAATATGGGCACATCAGCCCTTAAATTTTGGATTGAATTCAAGATTCTCTTATTAACCTTTCAAGTAATCCATGGACTAGCTCCTGAGTATTTGCGTGATCTAATTCGAATCACAGAACCGCCAAATTTTTACCTGCGAGAAATAATGAAGGTACTCCTGGATGTACCGCCTCAGAAATCATTCAACTCAATTTGAGATATAGAGCCTTCAAATTTGCAGCACCAAAGTTATGGACTCGTCTTCCAAAATAGCACAGAAATTTAGATACAATTTGTAATTTTAGAAAAAAATTAAAAACTCATTTATTTTGCATAGCTTATGACATTACCTGACGTTTCTTATTGTTTCATTCTTATCTACTCTTAGAACTAATATTGTAATTATCATACCCATAAGAGATGCAGTAATTACTTCAATTTTAATCCTTAATTTATATCAGTCTTATTATTATGTAGATCAGATTTTATAGCGCATCTAAACATTCTCATGCTAATTTGCGCTCAAGAAATTCACATTAATTCATTAATTCATAGATTTAATTTTTTTGTTTATATTTTTGTATTTAAGTACGAGTATTTTCATGTATAAGACTAAAGACTGTAAGTTTGTGAACACAGTTCGTAAATTGAAACATTTTAGCGAGTGTTGCCAACCTTATGAAACTATATACATGTGATGTAATACATACTTCAGCGTGCTCCGTGCGCGCCTGTTAGCGGGCTACTGTGGTTCCTGTGGTTTAAGTTGAGCCAAAACGCAGAATATTATTAAACTTTTGCGTCGAAAAATCAAAAAATCTCATTTCGATGTTCTATTGATCGTCGCTCTTTACGATGTTTTGGATATAATCCCCGGAAGGTAGGAAATTGATAAATTATGTAATAATATCACAGTAATTTGCAACAACGCAGCAGCCGATCAAGACTGGTGGTAATCATGTGATGACCGAGTGTTGTGTACTAATTTGTATATTTTCGACACTTTTTCCTGGCTTTTTTATCTTGTAGGGTATACATAGGGTTTAGGGGAGAAAATTAGTATTTAAAGTGGTGTAGACCGTGTAGTTGCAGTAACGACAGAATTTAGAAGCGACCATAGGCATGGAAACCATGCGTTGAGCAATATTTGTGCGAGTATTATTTATAGTTCCGCCACTTCGATGCTCTTGTTTTATTTCCTGAGAGCAACTTCAGAAACGTTCGTTCACAAAGCATTATAGAATTAAGTTCTGGCGGTTGCTCGTTCGCCTTTGTTCACCCGTCGT